TGATAATTAAAATTAATTAATTAACAAAATTTAATTTATTACTTTGCTTTCTAAATTCGAGTGGTGTTTTAAAAATTTTTAAAGGAAACAAAATTAATTCCAATTATAATTAAAATAACTTAAGTAATCGATGTAACTACTCTATTAATTAATTAATTAAGGTTATTTAATGAAATTTATGGATATTCACATTTCATATGAATAAATAATTTAATTTCATTTAGGGGAAAAATTAAATTAAAATTAATTAGTTAATAAAATTAAAATTAATTTTTTTCCATTTTAAATTCGAATAGTGTTTTTTCATTTCCTCACATTGTTATTGCGAAAATTAATGCAAATTCAAATAATTTTTATTATTATAAAGCAAATGTTCAGTTTTGAATGAAATAAAACTCGAAAGGTACAAAAAGTTACCTTGTAAATTAGTTTGCTGCAAGAGCAGAACAATTTTACCTACAGCATCATTAAGAAAAATAAACTGTACTCTACTTTGATTAAATTTCGCGCTCTTACCCTTTCTACTTACGTACTTATATATCTACTCAAGCAAAATGTTAGCAAAATCTACTAAATATATGTTATTGTTTCGATTCGCTTCACTTACAGCACATAGCAAATCACACCGACACTCCACATATCCGTCGCATAAGAAATACAATCGAAATTCACAACCTCGGGCGCGACAAATTCGGGTGTACCAAAGAGAATCTGTGAAGCATATGAAAGAGAGATGAAGAAAAAGAAAATTAATACTATAAAAACGATTACAAAATAACAAATTAGAGTCGAAATTCATTGAATAAGTTGTAAGTGATGGTAGAGAGAGGGGGAGAGAGAGTTAGTGCGGCAGAGTAACGAGAGCAAAAGTGGGTTTATAACATAAATAACTGTAGCAACGTTGTTGCTATGAGAGAGAGTGAGGGATTTGTTTTAATCACACGCATATTAATGTAGTGGTGGTGGCTGGGTGTGTGAGTGTGTGAAAGCTCGGTGATTTGCTCGAGCTGTGAATCCAATTAAATACGAAATTGGTTTGCATGTGGGTATACAAGGCGTATGTGTAACGTAGTACACATGTAGTATTAATGGCAAACGTACTGTGCATATTGTGGTAACAAATTCTTGGAAAAAGGGAAATACAATAGTAAATTCGTGGTTGAACTGATTTTGATTTAATTTTAAAGCATTGTGGCAAATTAAATTTGAAATCGGTATAAGGTGGCTATATATATGTATGTACATGTGGAGGACTCGATTTTAATCGTTCATTTTGTGTGGCCGCTATATGCTGTAGAGGTCCGATCTTAACAATTTCTGGACAGTTTGTAGCGTTGCTTTCAAAAATATGCTATGCAGAATTTCGTGAAGATATCTTGTCAAATAAAAGCGTTTTCCATACAAGTATTCGATTTTGACTGTTCAGTTTGTATGGCAGCTATATGCTACAATGGTCCGATTTGTACAATATGATCGAAGATTGTTCATCTGCTTAGGAAAATAGTCCATGCTAAATTTCGTGAAAATATAATGTCAAATAAGAGGGGTTTCCATACAAGAATTTGATGTTGATAGGTCAGTTAATATGACAGCTATATGCTATAATGATCCGATCTGAACAATTTGTGCCGAAATTATAGAGTTTCTTCGAGTAATAATCCATGTTCAATTTTGTGAAGATATCTTGTCAAATTATAAAGTTTCCCCTACAAGATTGGGGTTTTCTTGTTGAGTTTATATGGCAGCTATATGCTATAGTGGTTCGCTATGAAAAATTTATTCGAAGATTGTTGATATGCTTAAGAAAAAAATCTATACCAAATTTCGTGAAGATATCCCGTTAAATAAAAAAGTTTTCCATACAAGCACTGGGGTTTAATGTGTGAGTTTGTATGACAGTTAACTATAAATATATGTAGTTCATGATATAAAAATATAACTAACACGACTTTATTTAATTATATATATAAATATGTAGACAGATTACCTGCAATCGCTTGTTGGGATCATATTTACGCGCCAAACCGAAGTCAATGATCTTGATGCGATTTCCCTCTTGTGTCAGGCACAAAATATTCTCTGGCTTCAAGTCGAGATGTAAGATATTATTGCGATGTATGAATTCCATGGCCTCGCAAACTTGTCGTATGAAAACCACACAAACACGCTCGGTCAGCACAAATTCATCGTCCACCACACGGTCGAAAAGTTCACCGCCTTCGACTCTATAACATAATTAATAATAAAATTAATGGAAGTTATAAGTACTTTTTTTTTAGGAAATTTTGAAATGCTTCAAACCGATGTCAGTTCGAGAGTTTAACATTGTTAGAGGACGTATTTTATGGAGATTATATGCAATTGACTATAAAATCAATGGTGTCTAAACGCGATACTTTAAGTGAATTGAATTTGGGAGGGGTTTGGAAGGAGGAAATTGAAGCAGTGAATATTTAGGAATCTTACGTTGCGAGTACTGAATGTTGTCATTGTGATCTAAGCATTATCGAGGTCAACGCGCGTTAATCCGCAGCGTTATTGAAAGAGTAGAGGTCGCACAGATGTCCCAAAATTGCTGTACCAGGCTACAGAGGACTAACGATAAATAGAAGTTAAGTCCGGAGCAGCACAAGGGTCCATTTTTGGCCCAAAAATTTGCAACATTAGTTATGACGGAATACTGCAACTTGAAATGCCAGGCGAATCATATTTAAACGGCTACGCGGATGACATAGCAACAGAATTTACAACTCGAGACACAGAGGAAGTCCGAGAAAGCTGAATCAGGTCATGAACAAAACAGAAACATAGTTTGATTCATAGAAGCTCTTGCTCTTCTGATCTACGGTGAAGTAGTGTGGTGGTTAGGCTTATGAAAGTCTACCTACTAGAAGCCAATGGAAGGCGTGCCGAAGCGCGTTGCGCTATGCATAACAGAAATTCTAAAAACCGCGCCGGCGACTCTTGAACTAAGGTAAATCTTTCGGCGAGGGAGCTAATAGCTGCAGTAGAATTTATATTTTTAACTTTCGGGAATGATATGATGGATAATTTGACAAGGACCAGGAGCGTGCAATTCACCTTTACGATTGAGAAAGAAGGTTCAGAGTAAACCTAGAAAAAGATGGTTGGTTAATGCTATGCTGAATGCGCGTAACACATTAAACATTTTTACGGATGGCTCAAAAATGGAGGACGTAGCTTTACGTGAATCCATGACCTCCAGATTCAAAAATCATTTCACACATCGGACAAAAATGCTTTGAAAAGCAGGACAATAGTAGAGAGTTTCGCCAGAAAAGAACGTTTTCACTGCTACTGGGTGCCGGGTCACAAGGACATCGATGGCAATGAGATAGTGGACGAGATTGCCAAGAATGTCAGCTGATATCTGAAAAGCTGACCAACATTGGAAAACCAATGCATTGTTTATATGACGATCTGAACAGGAACAGGAACATGACAAGGACAATCAATACGCGATGGAACGATCTACCTGTTTGCAAGACTGCAAAAGTTATGTGTAGAATGATAGAACGGAAATATATCAAGGCGCTAGATAGAAGAGACTCCAGAAACATGATTGGTCACAATCTGGTGGCGCCACACACGTGCAGAATGGGGCCCAGAGAACAAGAAAGTGAAACAACATAGACAATAACTACAAAAAGCAACGCACAACTAAGGTGCGCCCCACTAATCATGACTGGAACTGACAAAAAAGGCTTGTTGACAAACATAGTAAATACAAGGGCACCAAATGGCATTTAGAGCATGATGGAAGTGCAATGTTATATAAAAACCACCTTTACTTTTAAAACAACGATTTTTTCCGACACAGTTCGGGAAAACTTTGCTCTAATCTAATATCGAAACCACACATGTTTTTTCGTCATATTATACCATCAATGAAAGCAAAGCAAAAAAAAATTATATTTTAAACAGCAATTATCACACAATCTCTTTTTTATGTATTTACCCTAACACTATTAAAATTTCATGTGAGCGTCAAAACTTAAAAGCCTTTACCAACATTTTAATAGAGCATTCTATTTAAGCCAAGCCGATAAGAGATTTCAAGGCATTGAAGACACGCATATGCTATGAGAACACACATATATACTATATATATAATTTTATATACTATTGTATACATATGTGTATCTACTTTTGCATGCAGTACTGAGCATAGCTATATTAATTAATTTTCGAGCTTCCTAAGCACCTAGAAGCACACTAAGTACTTGCGCACATGATTGGAAGCTCGACTCACTACGCGTTACAATGCAGTCTTTTGCTCTAGACACCATGCTATATGCAGTTTGCCATTGTTGTTTTCTTGTAACGAAAACTATTATCATTTTGCTGTTGTTGTTGTTGTTGTTGATGTTGAGAGGTTAGCTGCAATTTGGCTGCCTAACTACCTGTCTGCGTAGCTTGTCTTTTATGGTATCCACTAATGATTTATGATAACTTAAAGTGGAGGAGAATTTGCCAGCACTCAGCAAAGGCAGGCGATACGAGTGCAAAGCAACAACAATGTTGAAGGTGTAAGGCGTAAGTAATTTGTCAACACAGTTGCGTGTAAGTGAAGAGACTTCTTTCTTCGCACTTAGTAATTTTGTTAGAAGTTTAGAAGAAGCGTTGTACTAGGCTTCCTTTCGAAAGAGCGCCATTTGAAGCAAAGCAAAATATTTGTTTCTGTGGAGAGCTAGCAAAACTTTGACTCTCTGAGCGTTGCCTGCTGCACAAAAAGTCTACAAAAATGTTTATAAATACAATATTTGCCAAACAAGCTGTAGACCTTGGCAAGTTGCTGTGGGCGCAACAAAAGCAAACGTATATGCGCTTGCTGCAACATGCGCCTAAATGTAGGCATTGTATTTTATGTTGTCAGTAACATTATGTGCTGTACAAATACACTGCAGCAGCGCTTGAAACAAGCAGAAAATTGCTATTTAGCAACTAGGCTTTAATGAGTTCTTGCCGAGTAAGGTCGCGCGTAGCCCTGGATATGCATATGCTCACAAGTAAGTATATATATTTTCACATTGAAGATTTTTGCAGTTGCAAAAAGTTCAATGAAAGTTTACTTAATAGACTGTTGCCACAAGCTGCTGTCGAGTATCAGCTAAATTCATACAATTTGTACTTCTTACATAAACTGTACATTAGCCATTTTACGTAAATGTCATGCATAAGACATGCATACATTTAGGCGCTGGCACTCTTCGACGCAATTTTCAAATTTGAAGAAGGTATTTTGTAGGCCTTTCAAGTGTCTTCAATTTGAGAGAGTGTGTAAGTACATTTGTTATTGTTTCCCTATTTTTTATACCAGTTTTTGTTTTTTAATTTTTACCAGTTGTGTTAAATTTTGTCAAACAATTTTATCAGATCATTAGTATTTTTTGTTTAATTTTTGTATTATTTTAATTTTCCTCTTATACCAGTTTTCTATTGCTTTATTTTATTATACCAGTTATTAAATTTATACCAGTTTTTGGTATATTTTATTGTATCTGTAATAAATAGTCAATAAACATTTTATGTATTTCTGCCATTTTATACCAGCTTAGTAAATTTTTACCAGTTTTGTATTATTATACCATTTTATGTGGTGAATATTAGTTATGTTTTATTTTTTATTATTACAGTGTATTACTTTTATATCAGTTTGTTTTATTATACCAGTTTATTAGAACTATTTTACTATTTTTATACCATTTTTATTGTGCTATATAATACTAATTATTAGATTAAACAGATTTATGTAAGTTTTTATTGTTTACTTAATTTATACTGGTTATTTGTACAACTTTATTGTATGTGTATAAAGATAATATGTTATGTGTTTCCTTTTTTGTACCACTTTTTTAAATTTATACTATTGGTTTTGTTTTCCTTTTTATACCATCTTTTTAAATTTAGACTTAATTTGTACTTTATTTTGCTTTTTTATACTGTTTTGTTCAATTTGTAGCAGTTTTTTGGTGCACTGTTGCACTGTTGTTGGTGCATATCCAATTTTTTCAAATGTTTAATTTGCTAGAAACATGTGTTGTGTCTCTGCTTTTTATATTATTTGAATAAATTTATACCAGTTTTTGTTTTACTTTTTATACCAGTTTTTTAATTTATAATAATTGATTGTACTACTTTATTTTGCTTTTTTATACAAGTCTATTAAATTTATATCAGTTTTACTTTTTATACCAGTTTTTTAAATTTATACTAGGTGTTTGTTAAACTTAATTATCTTATTTTGAAATGTTCATACCGGTGGTTGTCACATTTAATGGTATTACGCAGTGGATTTTTATACCATTTTTGAGCTTTGCATGTTGGTCAGTTTATTAGGTTTATACCTGTAGTTTCTACTACTTTAATATACCAGTCTATTATAATTATATAATTTTTTATTTTACTATATAAAGCCAATATGATAGTTTTATACTAGTTCTTTTAGTGCTTTTGACGATTACTCAGCTTTCAGGCTTTTTTAAGCTCATTTAACAACCAAAATCATAGTATCAAAAAAATCGATATCCGAACTGATTTTATTAATTTCTAAGAGATCCCCATATTGAGGGAAAAATGCTATCCAGGCCTTATTTTAGTAGTTTTCTTAAGACTAGACAACTTTACTGAAACGTCAAACGAACTCCAAGTACCGTTAGAACTTAGTTCTTGAACCAACTTAAAATTAAATATTCTATTAACAATTTTTACTTGATGCCATGAAGTTAATAGCAAAATTGCTCAATCTTCAAATCATCACTTTTTCTTTAAACTTCTCTTTCTTCTTTTTAACTTTACCGAAATTTTTAGTGGTGCCAATGCGCTAACACATGTACGTGCAAGTGCCCAAGGAGTCATTCAGTAAACTTTCCTGAATGGTACACCTGAGTATAAGCATGCTTGCCAATTCACCTGCAACTGCCAGAGAGCAATTGAAGACACGAAAAAGTGAAGGAAAGAAATGCAAAATGTGAAAATTTTCGACGAAAAAATATTTGCATAACTCTGGCAGTAACGCTGTACTCACATATGCACACACATACACATATGTATAGTATAAATGAGGCTGTGTGTAATGTAGAAATTGAGCAGGTGATGAGGGCAGACAAGTTGAAAATTCTGAGAAAATCAAGTGGATTCTCGAGCTGGCGAAAGGATTGCGGAAGTGACAATAAAAATATGCTTGTGTGATAAGAAGATAATGCTTGCAAGTTGGCAAGGAAACTTGCTTAAACGGATGAGAGGAAAAACTTTGTTCAAGCGAAAAGGAAATCATGTCAAGCAAAATAAAAGTAAAAAAAAAAATTTTAAAAAATAAAATAAAATATAAAGTGAAAAGAAAAATGCTGTGATTTGCTTGAATTTTCTTCTTCAAAATTTAAGGTGATAAAAATGCTATTTGCTTGACTGGCAGCATGAAGGCATGAAGAGCTGCCGGAAAAATGTGAAAGAGTTGAGTTTGCTAAATTTGGTCGGTCATGCAGTTATGAACGTGCAGCGCTCAACATATGTCGAGAAAAATGTGCAAAACTTGCACGACGCGTAAGCGGCAATTGAAAAATGGCTTGCAGATGAAATCTTTCGAGGTCATTAAAAAGTTTGTGTCAAAAGTTTTGACAAATACAAATAGGAGCAGGCATGTTGATTGATTGTGGGAATAAGGATAATAAGAACACCTTGAAAATGTTGCATGAAAAGCGGGATTTAATGTTGTCGAAAATTTACAAAAGGTAATCTGGGCGGATATGAATTCTTAGAGGGTCTGCGGTATTAAATAATAAAAATTTTCAATTAAATTTGCCGTCTATTTCATTGAAATTCATATTAATTATCTTCCATCTAAGTGATTTTCCTGTGTCTCAGAGACTTACAACTTCAAGTTTCCTCTGAAATTATTTTATTGTGATTAGAAATAGGTCCAAAATCTTTGTAAACATTTAGAAAGAAAAATTCTCAAGCAGAAATCGATTTCGACACGAAAAAGTGTAGTGTAGATTATAGAAGCAGCTGCGAGTCAAAACTAAAATTTGTCTACCATCGAATCCGAATATCCTTGGAATCCTATTAAAACTAAAAATAACATTCTTTATCCAATATTTTCAATTTCGTACTATTCTTAAGAACTATCAATATTGGAAAGTCTGGGTACTTCCAAGTATTCCCGGCACTAAACTGCTACAATATTACATAAGTTTACTTTGTCGTAGATTACATAAAGTATAGATCTCTGATACCCTATCAAAAGTTAGAATATTTTACTTTATAATATGCATTTCATGACTAAAAATAATATAAAAATATTCATGACATAGTTTCGGAAATACAGAGGTTGAAAAAATGAGCTCTAAAATTTTCATTAATAGGTTTTATTGCAAAAATTTTATTTCAGGTGCAGATTGTGATGAATAATGATGATTGTGAGTACAACCCTAACGTGTGAAAGATTTTTACGAACATTTGAAAAGCTTGCTTCGTCGCTGATTGCATAAAGAACAGATCTCTGAGAGGCTATCAAAAGTTAGAATATTTTACTAAAATATATATATTTCATAACTAAAAACAATATACATTTATTAATGGCATAGTTCTGGAAATACTTAGGTTGAAAAAATGGACTCCAAAATTTTCTTTAAAAATTTTTTTTTTTTTTTAAATTTCTTTAAAATTTAGATTGTGATGGATGATGATGATTGTGAGTACAACTAAGACGTATGTAAGATTTTTAATAATACTTCATAAGTTTGCTCATCGTTGATTGCATAAAGCTCAGATCTTTGACTGACTAACAGAAGCTATAATGTTTTATTGTTTAATATGTTTTTCATGACTAAAAGCAATATAAATTTATTTATGGCATAGTTCTGGAAATACAAAGTTTGAAAAAATGAACTCCAAAATTTTCTTTAAATAGTTTTATGGAAAGAAAATTTATTTGTGCGGCGGATTCCTATAGACTCACATCTATATTTAAATAACTGAGATCACTTCATGTAAATAGAAACATATTAAACTTTTTAAAGCTGAAACTATTTTAAATTAGCTCAAATTCGAAATTAGCTACTTACAACTCCAGCACGACGCACATCATTTTCTGATGCTCATACGCTGCGTATAACTGTATAATGAGATGATGTTGCAGTGAGTTCATAATCTCCACCTCACGCTCCACATTGCGACGGTCTTCACGCTTGGGGATGGGCACAAATTTGGCGGCCAACTTCAGACCATTCTCCTTCTCTTGGCATTTGTAGACCGTGCCGAATTTACCTCTGAAGAGAGTGTTAATAAATCGCAATAAAATTGTGTTAATTATGATTATGTATTATTTTAGTATGTATGTATATATAACAATAACAAAGCAGTAAAGTGCTATAATAAATATTGTTAAAGTTGATAGGAACGTAAAATTTTCGTAAAAAAATTGAATTTTTTTGCAGGTTTAATTGCTAAAGGAAATATTTTAATCTCTGCTGATATTTTTATTTGTCCCTATGGTGCTATATTTGCCACTAAACTACTCCTTTGTGTACCAAAAATTTGCGCAAACATTTTAACGGTAATTTTTTATGAAACTGACAATTAAAATATTTTTTGGTATTAAAAAATATTTTTTTTGTCACTTTAAAACTCACCTGCCTACTTCGCCGAGTATTTCGTATAATTCATTTGCATCGACGCCACGTTTTATGGTTACGTCCCTATAGGGAAATACCGGTTCAAGTTCTGGAAAAAAATAAATAAAAGCGCAAATTAAATACCAGCTTTAAGGATTATGGAAAAAGCTTTAATTTTGTATTTCATTAAAACACAAAAACAACATACAAATTTTGTTAAATAAAGTTCTTCTTTAATGAATGGCTTATTTTTTTTATTTTATTTTATTCCCTATAAATTATCCTTTTCATAGAGCTTATTTATTTTGAGTTTTTAGAGTTAATTGTGAAATAGACATTGGAACTCAAAAACTTTTGGTGAATGAAAAATATAGCAAAAAAAAAGTTTGTGAAATGTTATTTTGGACTGTAAACTAAATTTAAATAAATTCCAAGCATTCACGTTGAAGAGCTTTCAAGTTGAAAAGCTTTATGAACTGGTGTTTTCAAAAGCTTTCAAACCAATTAATATTGATCGAAAAATATATTGATTTTCGTCCTTTTAAGGTTTCAAGTTGAAAAGATTTATAAAATGGTGTTTTCAAAAGCTTTCAAACGAACTAATATTGACCTAAAAATAGAGTTTATTTCATTCCTTTCAAGAAAAAAAAGTTATGATAGCATTTTGTTCAGGAAAAATTTTCTACAAATGCTAATTGTAAAAAGAACATATAATTTTTGTATACATAAAAATTTTATCCAAAACAGCAAAATATTTAAAAGCTTTAAAGCATTCATTCAAATTAAAAAACAAGCTTTTGATGAACAATACCTTACAAATGCAGTCAAAACGACATATGACACAAATTTACAATTTAATTATGAGCTGAACTATTTCTATTTTGGTGAGCTTTCACAAAAGCTCTTTGAAAGCGTTTGCGGGACAAAAATATGTTATCCAAAGTTTGAAAGTTGAAGATAGAATATATGTTTTATTTTTAGAGAGAAATAATAATATGAAAGTAAATCAAAAAGTACATAGCTTTTAAGACTTCAAACTGTGCTTCACAAAAAGAGCTTACAGAAAAAAAATCCATGACGGAATTAATTCAAGTATTATCTGTTTCTTTAGCTGTATTTCTGCTGAAAGCTTTTTCAAAAGCTCTATGAAAGAGTGTATAACTAAAAAATGTTCATGGACATTCGTTTCCTTCTTTGTTTCAGAGAATTTTCACAAAAGCTCTTTGATAACATTTACATCACTTAATGTTATTTAAAGTTTAAGAGTTTGCTTTTTCATAAGAGAGGAAAGTCTAAGCTTAAAGGTTAATAGACTTATGCGAATATTTAAAAACAGTACTTAAGAAAAAAAGCTTAGAGAGAAAAATTTGCCTAAAGGATGCACGTTCTGTTTCTGGTACATTTATGTATAGTTTTATAATTTGCATTTTCTGCTGAAAGCTCTTTGGAAACCTGTACGAAAAAGAGCAAGCGTAAAAAAGCTTACTGATATATATTTTGTAATCGAGGTTTACAAATAATATTTAAGTGACGTTCGCAAAATCCACGCAGCATTAGAAAAGCTGACTAAAGCTTTTACGAAAGCCCTATCATAAATGACGTAACCAGAAAAAGCTTATTGGTGTACGTTTTGTTATCGATTTTCCGTAAGTATTTGAGTATTCCGAAAAGTATTAGAAATCAGCTGCTGAAATCCTTCCTAATAGAGGCAGTATAAGAAGGAGTGTAGTTGGAAAAAGCTCTCGAACATTATTTCGTCATCGGGTTTCACAAGTATGCAAGTGATGTGAGTATTAAAAATGTGGTATTAAAAAAACCTGGTGAAAGTTTTCAAAAAAGTTCTATGAAAAAGAGAAAACACAGGAACAGCTTTCTGACATTAGTTTTCTTATGGAGTTTTACAAATATTTTAGATGCGTAGAATATACCAAGAAGTATTTTGAAAAGCTGACGAAAGCTTTTACGAAAGCCCTATCAAAAAAGGAATTACCAGAAAAACCATATGGACACACGTATTGTTATCGAAAGCTTTATGAAAGCCCTATAAAAAAAGCATTACAAAAAAAAAAACGCTAATGGACACACGTATTGTTATCGGGTTTCTCTGAATATTTCAGAAGAAACTTTCAAGAAGTATTAATAAAAATTGTAGAAAGCAAAAAAGCGTATCTAAAAAACTCTGACTGAAATTTGTTAAGTTTTCGGAGTTCATAACTTTTTAAAGGACGTAGGATTTCGCACAGCTGCTAAAAGCTTTTATGAAAACTCTTTGAAAAAGAACATATTTAGAAAAAGCTCACGGACATTCTTTTCCTCCGTGATCTTCGCCATCGGGTTTCACATGTATTTCATTAAGGAGGAGTTTGAAAAGAGTATTAAAAGAGTTGCTGAAAGCTTTCATGAAAGCTCTTTGAAAAAGAAGTTATCTAGAAAAAGCTCACGAATATACGTTTTGTCATTGGATTTTCCTAAGTACTTAAGTGAGGTATTAAAAAATTTTTCTAGTTGAAAAGCTCGATGAAAGCGTTTTTGCTGATCACTATGAAGGTTGATATTGATGTTAATTTGGGTTTCACATAATTTTAAATTGCAATTGTGTTTCATAAAAAAAGTATTTTCATTGAATAAAAAAAGTTTTGTTGTGCAAAAAAATCGTGAAAAACTTCCATTGATGGTCAATAAGCTCATTTGCACTACTAAAAAGATAATTATGTCGTTTCTCTTTGAATTAATTGCACTTTAAGATATTTTATGCAAATTTCGCGCTGCTTCTCATTTAATTGCGCGCCTTTAACCTTAATTTGGCAATTCAACACAAACAGTTTCGGCCACTTCGTCACTTTTCGCATAAATTTAGCCAATTAGTTGGCAACGACATGATGATAACGAGGATGCTACGCCACATATATTACTATGCACTCATACACACACAACGATTCCAAACACAGACGTGCTGAGGTAACCGCACGAAACACGACCACAAGCATATTAAGCACACCATTTCGTCATCAAACGAAGTAATCATTTGTCGTGGTCGTCACCGCTTTGTCCTCAAAATAACGGCTCAATGGGCCAACGCACTGTTACTAATGTTTTGCGGTGGAAATTTGCCAAACCAATTACAAGCAAATTAGCAATATTTGAGTGAAAACTCATTTACAACAAAACAAACAAGCGAAATTGTGGCGGAAATTTATTATTTGACATTTAATTGGCGGTCGTAAGTTACGTTGTGGAGGGGGAGGGCGGCGAGATAGAGGCTATACCTACATATGTATCAACAATGAAATAACTTAAGATTTCTTTGCGCAAAGAAAAGCTTACGTTTGTAAAACGTTTTGAAGAAATTATGGACTGATTCTGCCAGTTTTGGAAAAAATCTGGAAAAATTCAGGATATCTGCGTTTTTTGTATTTACTACTTTTCTGAAGTTTATAGTACAGGTGTTCTGACAAGTTGTCGTACAAGACTTTTAGCTGACTTTGAAAGCTCAGGATTCACCAAAGCATTTCCAATCCACTTGCAATGTGATTGGAGAATTTCTGGAATACTGGTGAATACTCTGATCCAGTAATGGACGAAGGATGTTAAAATCGTTACTCATGTTGATAAAATGAAGAAATTAAGTTTAGAACAATGTTTTTAGAAGAATAAAACTAAGGTAAGCAGCACCAACTGATATGGGAGTTCAGCATTTAAAAAAAAAAAGTAGAGATTTTAGTCCTTCAGATATTGATAATACAGGGTTATATTATGTTTCTAAAACAATACAGACTATAAAGAAAGCAAATCAAAGAAGAGCAGGGTATATAACTCATACAGTTTCCGATATTCGATAACCCTTTTAATATAACCAATTAATCACTTATGATTTGAAAAACGTTCTTAAGCTAGTTTATTTTCTAGAGTTGAAAATGTCTGTAATAATCGCTGATCAGCTCTCTGTGGACGTTGAGAACAAAGATCGTCTAAGATTTTTCATATTTTGCTGAAGATATGTCAAGATTTTTTAGGTTATAACAAACCGTTGTCAAAAACAGGATGTCCCAAAAAAAATTTATTTCTTCATTGTTAGTACACCAATTACTCCTTGAGCAAGGACGATAACATAACAAAATATATTTTTTCGAGCAACTCGTGGTTGCTAATTTCGGTATGTCTGACGAGTTTGAGCTAGTGAGTGATCTGAGGATTTCTCGGATACAATTAGCTTGTCAAAAATCACTACTAAAACCATCTATGGGTACAAAAATTATTTATTAGCATGTTCCATAAAGAAATCTCATCTCATTAATACTAGCTAATTCTCTGACGACCTTGAGCTATTCAGTGATGCTAAGATATAATTTGATTTGAAAATATGGTGTTATTTAGTTCTCAGTGAATGCTGCAAATAGAGATCGCCTAATACTTTTACAATTTCGGTGAAGATATATCCAGGATTTTGTAGGTTATATCAAACATTCAACAGAATGTTGCATAAAAAGTAAACAACATAACAAAAAATATATTTAGGAGTAAATGGCGTTCGACAAATTGGTATGTCTGACAACTTTGAGCTAAGTAGTCAATGGTCTAAAGATTCCTAGAATATAATTTGCTTTGCAAATAACCGAACTAAAGGCTTCTGGGGTTATAAAAATTATTCATCAGCATGTTCCATTGAATGTTAGCTCATCATTACTTGGTTATCATCGGAAGACCTTTAGCTTGTCAGTGGTCTGAAGATTCCTAAAATATAATTTGTCTTACTTGAGCTCGTCTAAGAGTTTCTGACATAGAATTTGATTTTCAAATAACCATTCAAAAGTCAGGGAGTGTGAAATGTGAAAATTTGGATCTGCAGCTAGATATTTTTATAGTCTAGGGGTTCCCGGTATAGAATTTGATTTTCCAATAACAATACAAGGAAGTAACGGAGTGTAAAATATTGAAATTTTGTTCTGCAGCTAGATATATGTGGAGTCCATCTCGAATCGTATAATAGCGAATACTGCAGAAATGTCGAACTTGAGCTCGTCTTAAGGTTCCTGGTATAGAATTTGATTTTTTTATTTGAAATAACACTACAAGTGAGAAATGTAAAGATCTAGAATTGAAGCTAAAAAT